GATAAAAAGGAAATCTATGGTAATATTCTTAACCCCAAAAATTTGTTAGAACGTTAACATTTATATGTAAAACTATATTTTGATTATTCTTCAGTAATCTCCTGCTCCAGCTGGACAGGAAGGGAGAGAGATTATCAAATATAGTCAGGAAAGTTTCATACAGGTGGCAGGAATTTGGATAGCTAACGTAATTTCCCAAGTGTCCTACCTTTTCATAATATTTCATGAATTCTAGCATAAGAGTTGGTATGTTTCTCCTTGTAAAGCAATAAGATTGTGAGAATGTATTGTTAAACTCCAGAATTCATTTAATGATCTTCTATTTTCAGTCCACTGTGTATTAAGTATTGGCTTTGGAATATATCGCTGACTAAATTAAGCTCTTGTCATAAAAATATTGTTATGGTTGAAATCTGTAATTTTAAGACCAGTTATTGTATTAGATGTTAGTCTGGATCCCCCAAATCAGATAATCAACTAGTTGTTACTCATGTAATATTACTCATATTAATATAGTCATATTAATATTCATAAATATGAACCATTAAAAATAATTGCTGATACTTGAATATTAGAAATTTGCATGTAACTTTCAGATTTTGCTTAAGGAAAACCTTACAATAAGTGGCTCAAGCATTCACTTAAACTCAATGACTATTCTGTATAAAGCACAGTGATGGGTACTGGGAGGAGTTATTTTCTATATGCATTTTGCCCAATGTCTGGTATGGAATAGACTCCCCAGTTTTCATGGTCTCTTAGGAGATTTTTGCGTCTTGTGCACCAGAAATTTTAACTTTGGCCTCTCATGTCTAGGGAGCTGCTGGGGCACTCTAGGCAGTTTGGATCTGCCTGGCTTGTGTCAAGGTTTCTGTTTGACTCTGTGGGTGGATCAGGCAGGGAAGTGACTGGAGATCCCCATTAGCCTGTTGTCTTAAAATGCAATTTTCATAATAATACCTCATATTCTTGTACTTGCTCTATGTTATATTGTAAATTCCTGTTTAAGAAAGCACGGAAAGATCTGGGTTATGTTAAGCCTAGTAAACTATTAACACGATACTTTGATATTATAAATGAAAAGATTTAGAGGTAAATATCAGATACGGGCTTAAAATTTAGGCCACTGTTACTAATTCATAAAATGAACATTTAATGTCCTCAGCATTTTTTATTTTTTTGAGACAGGGTCTTGCTTTGTCGCCCAGGCTAGAGTACAGTAGTGTGAGCTCACTGCAACCTCCACCTCCTGGGTTCAAGTGATTCTCCTTCCTTAGCCTCCCAAGTAGCTGGGACCACAGGCACCCACCACCATACCCAGCTAATTTTGGTATTTTTAGTAGAGACAGGGTTTCACCATGTTGGCCAGGATGGTCTTGATCTCTTAACCTCGTGATCTACTCATCTTGGCCTCTCAAAGTGCTGGGATTATAGGCCTGAGCCACCGTGCCCAGCTTTTTTTTTTTTTTTTTTTTTTTTTTTAGTAGAACAAATGACAAACATGAATGTCTTCATTTGTACCAAGAAATATGTACTTTTCTGGAACTGAGACTACAAAATTTGAAGAGACCAATCTTAGTTTTTTGAAGTCCTTTTTCTGAAAAATCAACAAAAGAAAATGAGGGAAGAAAACGTATTGTCAAATTGGGGCCAGTCTCAGAAAACTGCTGGAGGGAGAGGAGTTTTTGTTGTGGAGAATCAGACATGCAATTGCTTTTGCATGTTAAAATTTTTCTTCCCAGGCATTCACATTGTAATCAACTATTACCTTACTAAATCTATAAATGGTGTTCATATAGGAAACAGACCAGAAAATCATTTAAATAAAATCGAAAACATCATCATAAACTTTTAAACCAAAAGGTAGAATAGCAAAATGAGAGCTTGTTTTCTTACTTGTAATCAAAATCTGATTTAAGACAACTTTGAGGTAGGAGGCACTTTGGGGGAAGCCTGTGGATTTCAGCTGTTCTTAGAACAATACCCAGGGGCCAGTGAAATATTGCCTGGGGCTGTATGGGCCGGTAATCATTTCCTGGGTTGACCAAATGGGAAGTTCTAGTACGCTCTTGCCAATCTAATATTGTTATATTTTCATTCATTCCAAAATAGCTGTTGACAGGCTTCTATGTGCTAGGTATTTATTTAGCCCTTTGGGAAATTTAATGATATATTTGCTATGTCCTACTAGCATTTAGACTAGTATGAAAATAAAGCATTTGTAGCAGTTTTATTTTTCATTATTTGTTGAAAAAGTTACAGATTTTGTTAGGCTTAATGAAACCTAGCAATCTCTTATCCTGCTAGTCCCCACCACTTATTTTACTTTCTTGGAAAGACTGCTTTGAACTTTTAGTCATTTCTTGTAATTTTTTCAAGACCATGATTATCCTGCTCTTTTTAAAATTTGTTTTTCAGTGTTAGATATTTATCATTAGGCTTCATACTGTTTTCACATATGTCTTTACTTCATATTGTTTTACACATTCCTTTCTCTGATTCTCCTGATAGTTAAAACAACTTTGGCAAAATCCGTTTTCATGTCATATTGTAGTGAGTTTGTACATATTAGTTACAACTCAGCTACTTAGTTTATTATGATTGTGTTATTCATGTAACTTTGTTTTCCCAGGAATTAACCGTTGACTTGGAATTTAAAAAAAAAAAGAAAACTTATTACTATACTCAGGCAACCCAAACTGACCTGCCTCTTGACTTCTTTCTCTGTAGACATGTTATCATTGCTTTCCAGCATCCAAAATTTTGTTGACTTCTTCAAGCTCACTAACCAAGAGCTTCAGTGGCAGTAGATACCTACCAGAATGATGAAATACTTTCCTTACCAAAAGAAACTACAAAAATATGCTATGCTGTTACACAATTCAATTAAAATATTCTTTATACAATATTTTTTTTGTTCAACTTACTGTTATCAAAACTGGAATGTATTATAAGATTAATACCAATATTTCTGGATAAATTAAAATTTCATTTATCTAAAATGTAAAGTAAAGGTCATTAATGTGTTTATTGGATTAACCAGAGTCTCCCAGGTAATCCATTGATTTCTGTTCTGGTAACTGAATAAAACCCAATATGAAATAATCGTAGGGTTTAGCATTTCACACCAGTTTGGCTGGTGTAAGCCTAGTAATTCTGAAAAGAGAAAACAGCATTTTAAATTGGAATTTTTAATTCGTAAATGGAAGATATTTTTTATTTTCTTTAATGAGTTCTTTTGATGAGATTCTTGATTTGTTTTTCTCACTTACTTGCCTTTATTGTAGGCTTTATGCCAGAATTACTAACCTTCTGGTCTCATAGGATGTTTTCAGTATTAAGATGGGGAAAGGAAGTAACTGGGAATCTAACAAATAAGGCTGTATGGCCTGGCGCAGTGGCTCACCCCTGCAATCCCAGCAATTTGGGAGGCTGAGGAAGGAGTATCACTTGAGTCCAGGAGTTTGAGACCAGCTGGACATCATAGTGAGACCCTGTCTCTACAAAATTAATGAATTAACATAATTAGCCCAGTGTGGTACACTCATGTAGTTCTAGGTACTTGGGAGGCTGAGGTAGGAAGATTGCTTGAGCCTTGGAGGTTAAGGCTGCAGTGAGTTGAGCTCTCACCACTGCCCTGCAACCTGGGCAACAGAAACAGAGCTAGACTCTATCTTTAAAAACGAAACAAAACAACAAAAAAAGGACATTGAACAGAAAGTTTATTTGTGTTATCATTTTGTGACCCTAACATTCTGACTTTGGTTAATTATTCATTTTAAGGATTAGGTGTGAAAAATTGATATAGGTGAATTGCTCTTCCATAATTGTCATTTGGACCTATGCTTTTTTAAAGAATATGCTACTGTAACCTCCCTTTAATTTATTTGCTTAGTTTTTTTTTTTTTTTTGAGACGGAGTTTCGCTCTTGTTACCCAGTCTGGAGTGCAATGGCGCGATCTCGGCTCACCGCAACCTCCGCCTCCTGGGTTCAGGCAATTCTCCTGCCTCAGCCTCCTGAGTAGCTGGGATTACAGGCACGTGCCACCATGCCCCGCTAATTTTTTGTATTTTTAGTAGAGACGGAGTTTCACCATGTTGACCAGGATGGTCTCGATCTCTTGACCTTGTGATCCACCCGCCTCGGCCTCCCAAAGTGCTGGGATTACAGGCTTGAGCCACCGCGCCCGGCTATTTGCTTAGTTTTTATTTGCCCCCACAATGTTTCTGAATACTTGATCTTTCTCATTTCAATTTAAATTGCTGTCCTTGTCTAATTCCTACTAAAAGTAAAGCAATACAGGTATCCATAGTTTTCTGAAGCAGGCCTCTCAACTTTAATACAGAAACAGATCACCAGGGGATCTTGTTAAAAGACAGATTCTGGGGTGTGGCCTGACAGTTTGCATTTCTAACAGACTCCCAAGATGTTGATGTTACTAGTTTATCTGACCACACAGAATTGAACAGCAAAGATCTAACCTACCTTGTATGTGGGAGTAAAGTTGATCCCTTCAGTATTTGGACTCTGTTTTCAATTATCTGTGACCCTTGAGTTACTAGAAGTCAGTGGAAAATTTTACATTCCTGGCTGCTTCTAAGTACAACAAATAGTAGATTTATTTCTCCTTATAGACTTAAAAATGTTTGATTATTTGTAGGTCACTCCTTACAAATTATTTCAGTGCTATATTTATCAATGTATGTGTACATTTTAGGTATTAAGTATATATGTTATATTTCTTCCAATGTCTTTGAAGAAAAAAACATTATTGTTGGTTCCTGCTAGGCTTTAATTTGTAGCATGCAGACAAACATGCATCTCTGATTCATAGCTTTTAGTCATTAGGATCCTATTGTATACTCTTTAATGGTTATACAAACATAAAATCACTGAATATACTATATACAAATTAATAACTAGCTTCCTTGTAATGTTTCTTCCTCTGTAATTAGATATTAGCAATAAAAAAAGAATGTGTTTCATTTTTTCCAAACAGCTCAGTCACTAAAAGAATTTGCAAGACTACTCATTGCAGTGGAAGAAGAAAGGCGAAGACTGGTAAGTCTGTTCTGTATTTGTTAAGAATATTGCTTTGTTTCAACATGTTAAATAGAAAGAATAGACCTCTTGAACTAGAGAACTTTTTACAAGACCTTGTGATTTGAAGCATGTACTAATTGTTACATGTATTTTATAAAAGATTTGTGACTACAATTATCAAATATTGCTAATAAGGTATACCATTTTTTTCTAATTATTTTATTTGCTTCATGCATCTAAATTACCTTTATTTTGCTTGCCATTTAACTGTTCTGAGGATTAAAAATGGTGAACAAGCTGCCATTAAGAAACTCATTCTAATTCAGCAAACATTTAGAAGTTACAACAACCTCAGTGTTATAATACAGACTTGTTTCAAATGTTTGAGACAATTTATGGAAGGAGGAATGTACTTGCAAGGGAAATGTTAATGGGTAACATTTGAGTTGAACCCTTAAGGTTGGGAGAATTTTGCTAGGCTGGGAAGGATGGGGAAAGCATTCTAGATTGATGGATTAATATATGCAAAGATATTAGAGCATACTTATTGGTAAAACACTTATCCATTCAAAAACATAATTTTATGCCCAGTGTTTTCAAATATCTGTGATGTTCTCTGTCTGTGATGCAATGTCCTTATCTGTAATATGGGAAAAATAGTAGTGTATACACCACAGGATTGTTGGAAAGCATCTGTAGCAGCACCCGACAGGTAGTATATATATGCTGATGGTGATAACGATGCTGATAGTTACAGTGAGGGTCACATACTTATCTAAGACGTTGTCTCTGATTTAACTGACCTCACTGTCCACTTGGGGGATTATATACACACATACAGGCATACGTCATTTCTTTGTGCTTTGCTGTACTGCATTTTGCAGATAATGTGTGGTTTCTGTTTTTCATTTGTTTTGTTTTTGTCTTCAAATTAAAGGTTTTGACAACTCTGCATTGAGCAAGTGTATTGGCACCATTTTTCTAGCAGCATGTGTATACTTTCTGTCCTGTGTCACAGTTTGGTAATGCTCTCAGTGTTTCATATTTTTTCATTAGTATTATATCTGTTGTGGTGACCTGTGATGAGTGAATGTTAGTGTTACTATTAGGACTTTTTTGGGACTCCACACACCCTGCCAAAGTAAGACTGTGAACAGAATCAATAAATGTTGAGTGTGTTCTGACTACTCTATAAGCCAGCCATTCCCCATCTCTCTTCCTGTCCTTAGATCTCTCTAATGCTTCAAACATAAATATATTGAAATTAGGCCAACTGAAAACCTTTCAGTGACCTCTAAGTATTCACGTGAAAGGAAGTGTCATGTGTCTCTCACTTTTTTAAGCCAAAAGGTAGGAATGATTTAAGCTTAGTGAAGAAGGCATGTCAAAAGCTGACAAAGGCTTAAAGCTAGGCCTCTTGAACCAAATAGTTAGCAAAGTTGTGAGTGCAAAGGAAAGTTCTTGGAGGAAATTAAAAGTGCTAGTCTGTTAAACCCACAAATGAAAAGAATACAAAACAGCCTTATTACTGAGATGGAGAAAGTTTTAGTGGTCTGGAGAGAAAATCAGAACTAGCCACATTTCTTTAAGCCAAGCCCATAGAGAACAAGTCCCTAACTCTTTTCAATTCTGTGAAGGCAGATTAGGAAACTGCGGAAGTAGAGTTTGAAGCTAGCAGAGGTTGGTTCATAAGGTTTAAGGAAAGAAACTGTCACCATAACACAAAAATGCAAGGTGAAGCTGCAAGTGCTGGTATAGAAGTTGCAGCAAGTTATCCAGAAGATATGGCTGAGATCCTGGGTGAAGGTGGCTGTACTAAGCAACAGAATTTCAATGTAGACAAAACAGCCTTCCGTAAGAAGATGCCATCTCGGACTTTCATAGCAATAAAATAACAGTAGTCAGTGTCTGGCTTCAAAGGACGGGCTGACCCTCTTGTTAGGGGTTAATGCAGCTGGTGACTTAAAGTTGAAGCCAGTGCTCATTTATCATTCCAGAAATCTTAGGGCCCTTAAGAATTATGCTAAATCTACCCTCTCTGGGCTCTAGTTATAGAAGATGGAGCCTGGATGAGAGCACATGAGTTTACAGCATGGTTTACTGAATATTTTAAACCTTCTTTTGATACCTGTTGCTCCGAAAAAAAAGATATTAAAAATATTACTGCTTATTGACAATGTATGTGGTTACCTAAGAGCTATGATAGAGATGTGCAAGGATATTAGTGTTGTTCTCATGTCTGTCAACACAACATTCATTCTGCAGCCCATGGATCAGGGAGTAAGTCCAGTAAAGACTTGACTTTCAAGTCTTATGATTTAAGAAATACATTTTGCAAGGCTATAGCTGTCATAGATTTTGATTCCTCTGATGGATCTCATCAAAGTAAATTGATTTTCTGGAAAGGATTCATCATTCTAGTGATTCATGCTCACCAAGAGGTCAAAATATCAACAGAAGTTTGGAAGAAGTTGATTCCAACCCTCATGGATTATTTGGAGAGGTTCAGGTTTTTAGTGGAGTAAGTAACTATAGATGCGATGGAAGATTTAAGAGAACTAGAATTAGAAGTGGAGCCTGAAGATGTGATTGAATTACTGCAATCTCATGATCAGACTTAAATGGATAAGGAGTTGCTTCCTATGGATGGGCAAAATACATGTTTCTTGAGATCAAATCTACTCCTGGTGAACATACTGTGAATATTGTTGAAATAAAAACAAAGGATTTAGAAGAGTACATAAACTTAGTTGAGAATGCAATAGCAGGGTTGACAAGATAGACTTCGATTTTGAAAGAAGTTCTACCATGGGTAAAATGCTATCAAACTGTACTGCATGTTACAGACAAATCTTCTGTGAAAGAAAGACTCAATCATTGTTAGGAACTTCACTGTTGTCTTAAGAAATTGCCACAGCCCTTCCAGCCTTCAGTGACCACCACCCTGCTCGTTTAACAGTCCGCAGCATTAAGACAGGAGCCTCAACCATCAAAAAGATTATCACTTGCTGAAGGCTCAGATGTTAACATTTTCCAGCCATGAAATACTTTTAAATTAAGGTATGTACATCTTTTATTATTTTTGAGATGGAGTCTCTCTCTGTCGCCTAGGCTGTAGTGCAGTGGCAAGATCTCTGCTCACTGCAACCTCTGCCTCCTGGGTTCAAGTGATTCTTCTGCCTCAGCTTCACGAGTAGCTGGGACTACAGGTGCCCACCACCATGCTCGGCTAATTTTTTTTATATTTTTAGTAGAGATGGGGTTTCACTATATTAGCCAGGATGACCTTGATCTCCTGACCTCGTGATCCACCTGGCTTGGCCTAGGATTTTAGGTGTGAGCCACTGCACCCAGCCTGTAGACCATTTTTTTTTAGACACGACACTATTGCACACTTAATAGACTACAATATTACATTATTACATAAATGTTACTTGCACTGGGTATAAAAAATTTATGTGACTTGCTTTATTTATATTTATGCATATTCATGTGTTTAATTTATATACTTTATATTTATGTATTTTATTTATATTTAATGTGATATTCACTGTATTGCAGTAGCCTGGAAGTGAACTCACAATATCTCTGAGATATGCCTGGTCAATATAATACTCAGGGATAGATTAAATCCTCTGGGACCGTGACACAGTTTGGTGGTATTTTTCTGAACTGATAATAGGAAGCCATTTGAGGAAGGTGGGTGTTTTTAAGGTGCCCTTAACTTACAGGGTACATTGCCTGAGCTGGGAAAGGATCACACAAGTAGGGCATGGTAGTTATACCAATGATCTTGGACAGAGGCCCCAAAGTGGGAGACAGTTTTGTCTAATTTGTGGAATAAGGCAGATGATTTTTAGAAAAGATTAGTAGAGGATTGATTAATTGTTGTGGTCATAGGCAGGGTTATAGGGCTAGGCCTAGAAGTTGTTGTGTTTGTTATAGTTAGTGGGAGAATTCCCAGAAGATTTTGGAGAAAAGAATGAGAGAATTTAAGTTTGATTCAGGAGATATTACTTTGGCAGCCATGTGAGAAAGAGGTAAGGTGGGGAAGAAATGTTGTGTTTGGTAGTGGGATGATCACATTCTTTTAGGAAACATTAGCCTACATGGGTCTAGTCCCAGCACCAGAGAGACAGCCATGCAATGTGATCTGTACTACTAGAAATGTGTATACTCTTATGGGAGACCGACCTTTTCTGGTGGGGCAAAGAAAGGTTTTCTGTGAAGGTGACTTTGATCTTGAGTATAAAGGTCTTAAAACAGCCTAAAGAGCATGCTGTCCTAAGCGCTTTATATATAATCCTTACTGTACCTCTGTGAGCTGAGCCGTAGAAGTCTAACTTTCATAGGGAGACGGGTAGTATGTGCACTTGTGGCCAACAAGAGCATCCGATGACAGAAATGGAAAAGAGGAGTTAGAGGAGATGTGAAAGTGAAGAATTAGAAGGGTAATGGAAACAAGGGAAATAGTTCTGGGTTGGTGAGGCTGTGAGTCAGGTCTTGTGCAAATCGTTCAGGAAAGCAATAAACTAAGTATTGTGGGTTCTAATTCTAGAAAATATATTGGTTTAAAGAATAGAAGAAAATGTGTTGTTGTTTTTGGGAGGAAAGAGATCCAAAGGAATGTTCTCATAGCACTGAAGAGACTTTTTAGGCTTCAGAGGAAAAGCTCTTCCTTGAAAGCGGGTGAAAAGAAAGAGGAATGGTGAAAACAGTAGGAATGTGAAACAGCAAAATGGTTGATTGGACACGTTGAGAATAGTGTTATGAAGGAATGGTTATTTGCTGTGCCTAGGAGTTTGTAGAAGTGGTTTACAGGAGCCAGAGGTAGGTTATACAAGAGATGAGTAAGGGGACTATGGTCAGCAATGAAGAGAAATTGAAGTTAGACATCATAAATCTGTCAAGAATAGACTAGTTACCATGTTTTTGTGGATTTTTTCTAGGAATACCCAGTGCCGAACTGTGAACAGTAAGCACAGTTGGGAGATCAGATTCAAGTTGATGATTGGCCC